TTTTCTCTTTCCTGCAGCTTTGGCCTGACAGTGAAGAATGTCCAACTATCCATGAGACAAATGGTTTTTAGCTGCCACCTCCCCACGAGGAGTTCCTTCTTGGTTCAGGCTTGCATTGTCTTCCAGAATCTAATCTGAATTTCCCTTCCCACTCACATTTGGTTCTGTTCTTCCGTTCCCGGCTTTGTGGCTATTTCTGGAGCCTGCAGATCAATCATCTTGCACTTGATACCAAGATAAAGGTGCCTGCCTCTTCCCAGAGGGAGCCACTTCCTGGGCTTCTTCCAGTGAGGATACAACCCAATCTGTAAAAATACATTGCCAGGAGAAAATATTGCAAGATCCATTTTTGGGTGCTGAAGCACAAATTCTGTTCATGTTGTGACTTTCCTTTCTGAAGCAGTTATGGAGTTTCCGTGCTCCATACAAGACCATTCATTTTGAGAATTCCAGGTGTTTTCTCATGGAAAGTTGCTGGTGCTGCCTGCTCCCTCAGTGTGTCTGGAATTGAGTTTTAAACCATTCCAGTGCCCCTCTGGGAAAATCAAGCCTGGGAATGAGTCTTTGCTCCATGTTGGGTGTTCCATGGCCATGGAGCAGCTGCTGGACAAAGCCAGGGGGAGTTTCTTGAGCTTCAGAGCTGCCCTCCCATTTTCCAGCACAAATTCCCCCAAAGTGCTGAGCCTGGCTGACTCTAATCCTTTTGATTTTGCTGCACTGAGCAAAAGATCCTGTTTTTCATTTCTGAGGTGTATTAGTTCTCCATGTCCTAAGCAGAGGAAAAACTTTATCATGCTTTGGCATTAAGCAGAGTTTAAAGGAAAAATATGTGTTTACACCTTCACAACCCCATGTCAGCGATTTCCCAGTTCAGTTTAGGAAACTCCTTGGTACAGTCTGGAGTGGTTTTGTACTCCCAGGAGCTTGGAGGTATTTGCTGGTCTTGTTGACTCTTGTATGAACACAAAGAAAAGCTGGAACCCCAGCCAATGTAAACCTGGCTCTGCAGGCTGCATTCAGCCACCAATTTACACCAGTGGAAAGTCTTTCCCAAAATTCAATCCCAGGGCAGAAAGAGCCCTGGAAGCTTTGCTGTGGTGGTGATTGGTCCCCACCATTCCAGAGGGACTTTTCCCTTCCTGGCCCTGAGCCACTGTTGTGCTCCAGGCTCTGGAGAAGGCATTAAAAGCAAAAAGTGGGTTAAAACAATGTGGGAACAGGTCCTGGAAATGGCCCCGTGGGGTGGCTTTGGGAATTGTGGTGGCAGAGGTCAGATTGGGCACCCTGGAGGGGAGTGACCCTCAGGACAGCACGTTCAGATGGAGAGGAGGCTCAGGCACTCCTGAGCCCACAGACACCAAGATCACATGCAGGTTGCTCAGATTTTTGCCATTCCCTGGTTGCAGCCTGTGCTGGGTGTGGCATCAGGTGTCCCCATCCTACAAAGGTCAGAATCCTCAGCCAGGCTCTCCTTTTGACTCCATAGGATCAAAATGGATGTGGTGGATATGCCCCAAATAACTGACTCCTTTCCCTGCCTCTGACACTCTCCCAGTCCCACAGGGAGGTGATTTAGCTCAAAACCTATAGAGAAAACCACCAGATTCCTTTTTCCTGCTCTTTGTTTTGCTGATTGAGTTCCCCTGCTTTAGTTTGGAGGTGTTACCCTGTCCCAGGGAGGCAGCAGAGCCTGAGGATGGATTTGATGCTGAGCTTTAAGTTAAACCCCACCTGCATCCTAGGGGGGAGTTTGCCAAGCATTTCAAGGCAGCAGGAGCTGGCCCTGCTGCTGAATCCTGGCTCCTCCCTGGCCCTGCTGTGGCTCCCCATTACCCCATCCCTGGCCATGTCATTACATGTGGGACCAGTGTGGGAAAATAACCTGGATTAAAGCAAGAAAAAAATCTGAGTTAGCTTTAATCCCTGTCAGATTTCCAGCCTGGTTTATTGCACAAGTCCTGGGCCAGTGCAAACCAAAGGGTGCAGCTGCACTGAGATCCTCCCTCAGTGTCCTCTAGCACTGAGATCTTCTGGCAACTCCCAGAAAAACTGATTTCCACGAGGAAGGGTCTGATCTGACCCTCACAGCCTGTGTTCTCCCAATTACCTGGAATATACTCCCTGCCACAGGGCTGTCACAGTGCTCCAAGCTGATCTCTGGCCTGGAGCAGAGGATCTTGTAAATATATATCAGTCAGAGGTGGTTTGGCACAGAGAAATTCATCAAGAATTTCAAAGGGAATCAGTGTTGTCCATAGACAAACTGCTTTAGTGGTTAATTAGCACCACTGCACCACATTTAATCCCCCAGACTGGGTTTTCTAGCATTAATTTACAGCCACCAGATCTGGTGTCTGCCTGCTAACAGAAAATCATTTGGTTATTTTAATTTATTAAATTTTTGGTTATTTTAATTTATTCACTGACTTACATTCAGTAGGAACATATGATCATCACTGTGATTATTTTTTCTTCAGTAGTGTCTTCCCTCCCCACTTCCTTCCTTTTGCATGACTGCTCTGTTTCCATTTTGTAAAAAGGGTTCATTTCACCTCCTTTTATGGCCCATCTGTCGATGTCAGTGGCAGTGAAAGAGTTAACACTGACATTTGAAGCTGCTGGTAGACTTGGACATATGCAATAAAGCAAAAAGCTGGCATGGAGCAGTGCCTGTTGCTCAGCTCTGGCTCAAATTTGCACTCAGCTTGGGTTTGGGAGGGTACAGGACTGAGTGAAGTTTATATTCAGGAGGCTCTGACTGCATCACATCCCCTGGGCACATTTAATTATCACCAAAAAGCCACTTGCAGCCGTTTGTTTGGCTTTTGTTTTGTCTCCAGCCGGCTGCAGATTTGAGGTGGTGATTTTGTTCTCACGGCGAGGGGCTGGAGTTGAATGAGGAGACAAAAACTGGAGGAAACTGAAAGTTCTTGGCCTTAAATGCCTGTCCCAGAGGAGGTTTGTGTGCTGCGAGGGGGATGGATTGGCTCTTCCCTCTGCTGGATGTGCACAGCTGGGATCACTTTGTGCTGGCCTCAGGGAGGGGCTGATGAAAGAGCTGCCCAAGTGACGTTTGGTGTGCAAGGCTTCAGGATTATATAAACTGGGATTAACTCTGCCAGGGGGGAAGTTTTCCTCACTCCTTGTTGAGGCAGCTGTGTTTTAGGGCTGTAGTTGTACATTTCCCCACTCGAAAAGGAGATATTTTCCTTTGGTTTTGTCTTTGTTCTCATCACCTTGGCCAAAACCAGCTCTGAGATGGCACTGCTCTGATAGAAAGATTCCAATTTCTAGGCAGAGTTTATTTATCTCTATTTTCCTTTCCTTATCTCATCACCTTCCTTCTCCATGGGTTATCCCTTTTCTCCTCACCTTGGCAAAGAGGGTAGAAGACAACAGAGCATTTTGCTGAAGCTCTGAAGGACTTGGCTTGGAAAATTTTGGCCCTTTTAGAAGGATTACTTCATGAGAGTATCTGCAGAATTCCTCCCAGGCTGTGTCTCTCCAAGCTTAGAACTCAGGCCCTCCAGACCATGAGACTAATTGGAAAAAATAAAACAGGAAATCAAATGATGTTTCTTTGAGCCATTAGAGTGGGTCTGGATTTGAGATTTCCAGAAGGAACTGATTTTCCTATCTGAAAACTGCTGGGTTCAGGCAATTGCTTCTGCCCAGGCTTACAGGGAGGAAGCCAACTAGAACTGGCAGAGATAGGCAAAACTGCATTTACTAATCATTTACCAAATCAAAAAAACATTTACTAAGAATTTGGTGAGTCAAAACAACTGCAGACTGAGAGGATTTGCACCTGGTTTGACCCAAATTGATACTTCAGTGATTTTTGCTTTTATTACTGTTTAACAAAACTTCAGGTAAATTTTCTTCCTGACCAAGGCTGGGGTTATTTTTCTCCCTGCATGTCACCTGTCCCTGTGGTTTGACCACTTTTACATCTTGAGAAGGTGCAGAAAGGAACTCTGTGAGTCAGTAAAACTCATCTTCATCACTGTGCAGGGTCTGGCACTCCCAGTTTGTGATGGGTGTCTGGGATTGCTGTCTGTGCACGAGCCTGCTTTAGGAACAGACCCCTCTGGTCTTTGTGCAGCATCCCAAAACATCACTTGGTGCTTTAGGGAATGGTTCAGGATAAAGGTGCTGCTGTGAGCAGTGGGCAAAGCAAGAAGGGCTGAAGGAAATGCATGTAGGAGAGAGGCAGAGGGTGTCACACGTGGTTTCTCCTGTCTCTGGTTTCTGTGGTGCCTCTCATCTTCTCCATCTCAGTCCCTTGAGTAGAGATTTCCCCACAGGCAGGCACTGAGTCACCCCTGGGTGCAGATTTCCCCTCCCTGCTTTACAGTGAAGTCAGGAGTCAGCAGATGAGGGCTTTCCACAGATGGTTGTGTCTCACCCACATCAGGTTGGAAATGGAACCTTTAAAGGAGGGTCAGGGGTTGGAGTCTCTTGATGCATGTCAGTGTCATGGTCTAAATTCAGCAGCGTGGGTGCAGAAATGCCCATTTCTCATTTCTTCTCAATTTTCTCAGAATTTTCCCATTGGGTGCCTTGCTAAAGCTTTTCAATTGGCCAGCAATGTGAAGCTGTTTGCTTCTGAGATGAATCATCATTAGTCATAAAAGATTCCTTACCTCGAAACAGCTTCCCGTTGTGAAATCAGAGACAGGAGAGAACACATTTCAGTCTCCCTCCTGCTAAAGGATGCCTGGGAAAGGAAATCCAAGTTTTATTCTCTTTATCAAATGTTTGTTTCTTTGGTTGATTTGAAGTTATTGGAAATCTAGCAGTAATTTTTCCCTAATGCTGGCTTGTCTCCCCTCAAAGCAATTAGAGCAGACAACTGATGATGTGTTACAATCAACAATGGGATTATTTTAATATCCCATTTTAATATGGTTATCCAAGGATAACTGTGGTTCTTGTGGACTCAGGGAAGTGCCTGCAAACCCACAGCCATCCCAATTTCCCTGTGTTTTTGGCTGCAGGGGTTGGGAGCCAACGGCATCCGGCTGAGCATGGAGAGCGCTCTGACGGCGCGGGACCGCGTCGGGGTGCAGGACTTTGTCCTGCTGGAGAACTTCACCAGCGAGGCTGCATTCATTGAGAACCTGAGGAAACGCTTCAAGGAGAACCTCATCTATGTGAGTGGCACAGGGACAGTCCCCAGGGTGGCCCTCAGTGAGCTGGAGAGTGTTTGCTGCACGGGACAGGCCCGGCTCTGCTCTGCAGTGGGGTTTGGGGGTGCTGGTGGCAGCTCACACTGGCCAGGGGGGCTTGTGCCAGGACCAGTCTTGTGCCAGGAACACCCATTTCAGGGGTATAGGGACTCACTGCAGTGCCCCTGTTGAGGTCTGGTGGCATTTGAAAATCCAACTCCCACCATATTCTTCCATCTCCCAAATTCACCCACATCCACCAACCCCAGACTTGACCTCAATCCTAAATGTATATCAGAAATAACCCAGTATTGTGCCTTGTTGGGAACCCTAAAACCATCTGAGGTGCTTTTTACCAGCAAGGATAACATGGCTGGCACAGCTGCAGCAGCATCACTTTCCCAGAGCTGAGAGTTCTCTTCCTCAGCCCCCTTGGCCTGTTTGGGAACCCTCAGCAGCATCCTCAGCACACCAGGATGGGTGTCCAGCCTCCAGAGACACCTGAGCTCTGCCTCCAGCCCTCCTGTAAGCTCCCTGCTTTCTGTTGTGTTCTCCAGACCTACATTGGCTCTGTGCTGGTGTCTGTGAATCCCTACAAGGAACTGGAAATCTACACCAAGCAGAACATGGAGCGCTACCGCGGCGTCAGCTTCTACGAAGTCTCTCCTCACCTGTGAGTGCTGCCAGGGCAGGTTTGGTCACTCCCACCCATGGGACACGTCAAAAGAGGCAAACAGGACTTTGCCCTGTCCCAGTGCAAGTCCCAGGGACAGAGAGGATCCTCTGAGGGTGTGGTGTGAGGCTCTTTCTATTCCTGTTCCTCTCTCCAAAGAGGATGAGTTGCCTTTGCAAGAGCAGTATTTGGAAAGGGAGTTGGTTCCTTCCTGGCTGCAGGAACAGAGCTGCTTACCCAGCCCTGGCAGGACAGGAGTTCATTGTTCCAGGGTTATTTGGGGTCTCTGTGTCCGGGGCTAAGTAGGGGAAAGAGTTTCTGCTGTGTGGGGGTTTCTTTCCTACCTCTGCTCTTACTGCCTGACCAATATTTATCTGGTATTTCCCTTGTTGCTAAGATACCATCAGCCTGTTGGAACAAGGAATGTATTTATTTACATGGTCTGGCTTGGTGAGCATTCCCAATTTCCCATTAAAAAAAAAAGTTTGAGGTTTAAAGTTATTTTTGAAAGCGTTTGAATTTTTTTGTCAGACTGAGAGAAAAAGATGACTGAGAGCTGAGGCCACATGGCTTCAAAAGGGTTTTTCTGCAGGACTAAAGGCCAAATTCTGAGCACCTCTTGGAGGATTTTTTATGTTGTGTTTTGTTGGGCTTTTTTTTTAAAGAGATCTTGGAAGAGTAAATGATATTATTTTTGAACAAACTATTTGGGTTGTTTCTTATTGCTGGCACATAGCCCAGGAGAGTAAACAAACCAGAATGTGCTGCAAGCACAGAGAGAGAGGGGGAGAAACACCATTACTTGGGAAAGTCTCAGCACTTGAAATTGAATTTGTTAGGACAAAAATATGATTTTTACTGTGTGAACCCAGATGGGGGAGAATTAAACCTGAAAAACCCTGCATTCAAACATGCCCAGTTCCCTTTGCCTGTGGTCAGGGAAGGGCTTCTGTGGACTTAAATGGGAATTTTGGAATTCTCTGGAAAATCCTTGGGGCTGTGGTTTTGTTTTTAAGTGTGCAGGATGACGGCAATGCTCATGGATAGCACAAAGCCCTGAGCAGATGTGCTTTAATTCCACTTAAATCACACTGTGGCTGATTATTTCTTAGGCTTTCTTTCCTTTTAACAAGTCCCTCCAGCAACTCCTAAGTGAACCCTGGAGAATTGTGATCCTGGGTACTGCTGCTCCCCCTGGGAGAACAGAATTTTTTGCAGACAGTTTTTGCTGTTCCATTGCATTATTTGATTATTTTATTGCATTATTTGATTATATATGTATTTAAAAATCCTCTGAGGAGCATCAAAATGCTCCATCTGCAGTGTGGTGCTCTGGGTTTCTCCTTTTCCAGTAACTCATCTTTTTTCCTCTTTCTCCTCTTCTAAACTGACTCTAGAAAGCCAAAACACTTCCAGATCTCCATTCCAGTGTCAGATGGTTCAGCTGGGTTTTCTGGGAAGTGCCTCACACTCAGGGGAGGAAAGTTATCCCTATGGGCTTGGAAGCCAGCACATTCCCAGAGATCTGCCACATCCTGTCCTGTTTATGGCCTGCAAATGGCACCATAAACATCTTTATTTCTGTGGTTCTGTCTGTGCCTGCCTGGAGCTCTTGGGGCCAGAGGCGTTTCTTCAAATCCAAATGAAATCTGCATTTATTCAGCTGCTTTCCAAAAGACTCCAGAGGCAGAGTGTGGATGGGGAGAGAGGGACATGATGTATTTTGTGGGGTGAGTTGTGTTGCCAAGGGAGCTCATTGGTGTTGCCTTAGCACCAAGTATTAAATAGACTGGAGAAGGCCACTGCTGTTATTTTGGTGTGATTACTTCTAATTAATAGCACAGCAGGAGAGTTAAATTTAAAAAAAAAAAAAAGGGAAAACTGAAAATAAAAACGAAATTTTAAAAAGCCAAGCTGCTCAAATGTTGTCAGGTGTGTGAAGAAGACAGGATATCTGCTTGCTCACCACATGTGAGAGCTGAACATGGTGTTGGGGGGGTTGTCCTTTTGCTGCCCCCCTGAGCAGTTGTCACCATTGTCACTCATCCCCTGCTCTCTCTGGTGCTGTGGGAGTGTGTGTGTGACTGACTGGGTGTGAGGTCTGTCTGCTCAAACACAGAAATGAAAGAAAAAACAGCAAAGGAGGAAGCAGAAGGGCAAGGCCAGAGGAAGTGCCTGGTGTTTGGGGCAGAGGGGACCTGAGGATGCTCCTGAAGCTGTGGTGGCTTCTCCAGCTCTTCCCAGCACCCAAGAGAAGCTCAGGCAGCAAAATTCTGTTGTGACCTCCTGGATGTGTCATCACTTAGAAGACAAGCAAGAAAAAAACACCAGTGGAGAACGAGGTGTTTCCTGAGTGTAAATCTTTTCTGTCCCATGGGACCAGGACAGAAAGAGAGAGATCATGATGTTGAGAGATCATTTATATTTAGAAAATCCAGTTCTTCTGCACAATTTAGTCAACTTCTACCTATTTTTGTCAGAAAGAAAAGTCAAAAGAACAGTCTCAAATAATCAGTGTGTGATGACCCTGCAGAAGCTTGGCTCGGTGGCTGAGGTGTGACCAGAGAGATCATTTACATTGGAGAGATAATTTATATTTGAGAGATCATTTGTACTTAGAAAAGCCAGATGTTCTGCACAATTTAGTTGACTTCTACCTATTTTTGTCAGGCAAAATGTCAAAAGAACAGTGTCAAAGAATCTGACAGTTTGTGTTATGACTCTGCAGAGGCCTGGCTTGTGGTTGAAGTTGTGACCAGAGAGATCATTTATATTTGGGAGATCATTTATATTTGAGAGATCATTTGTACTTAGAAAAGCCAGATGTTCTGCACAATTTAGCTGACTTTTACCTATTTTTGTCAGGAAAAAAAGTCAAAAGAACAATGTCAAAGAATCTGACAGTTTGTGTGATGCCTTGCAGAAGCCTGGCTCGGTGGTTGAGGTGTGACCAGAGAGATCATTTATATTTGAGAGATAATTTGTATTTGAGAGATCATTTGTATTTAGAAAAGCCAGTTCTGCACAATTTAGTTGACTTCTACCTATTTTTGTCAGGGAAAAAAAAGTCAGAAGAACCATCTCAGAGAATCTGACAGTTTGTGTCATGACCCTGCAGAATCTTGGTTCGGCGGCTGAGGTGTGACCAGAGAGATCATTTCTATTTCAGAGATCATTTGTATTTAGAAAAGCCAGTTGTTCTGCACAATTTAGTTGACTTTTACCTCTTTTTGTGAGGAAAAAGTTTAAAGGAACAGTCTTTAAGAATCTGACAGAGTGTGTGATGACCCTGCAGAAGCCCGGCTGGGTGGTTGAGGTGTAACCAGAGAGATCATTTACATTTGAGAGATCATTTATATTTGAGAGATCATTTGTATTTAGAAAAGCCAGTTGTTCTGCACAATTTAGTCGACTTTCACCTATTTTTGTCAGAAAGAAAAGTCAAAAGAGCAGCCTCAAAGGATCTGACAGAGTGTGTGATGACCCTGCATGGCCTGGCTGTGGCTGAGGTGTGAGCAGAGCTGTCAGCGCTGTCTTGCGCTGTCCCCAGCGTGCAGGAGCTGCGATCCCACCCAGCCCATGGCCTGGGGCTGTTCTGGGGCTGTCTCAGCCGGGGTTTCTCGGGCACTGCCCTGATCCGCTGTCCCCTCCCAGCTACGCCATCGCGGATAACTCGTACCGCTCCCTGCGCACCGAGCGGAGGGACCAGTGCATCCTCATCTCCGGAGAGAGCGGCGCCGGCAAGACCGAGGCCACCAAGAAGATCCTGCAGTACTACGCTGTCACCTGCCCCGCCAGCCAGCAGGTCGAGACCGTCAAGGACCGGCTGCTGCAGTCCAACCCCGTCCTGGAGGTACCTCCCGGCCCTGGGGGCAGCGGTGGCACAGCGGTGACACAGCGTGTCCTGGGAATGCGCATCAGCGGGGAATCCTGCTCTGATTCCCGGCCAAAGTCCTCCAGGAGCAGTTCTGGCACGGATGGGGTTTGGGGACAAAGGGGATTTGGTGTGGGAAGAGCTCTGGGACACTCTGCAAAGGGACACATCCCAGTGGGCAGCTCATACAGGCTGGGTTTGTTTTGTGGTGCTGTGGTGTCCTCTAGTGTCCAGCCCTGGCTGTGTGCAGTGCCCTGAGCTATGCCTGTGCCCTGAGATGGCCCTGTGCCCTGTATCCATGTGCTCCAAGATGTCCCTGTGCCCATGTGTCCCTGTGCCCTGTACCCCTGTGCCCTGACATGTCCCTCTGTCCCTGTATTGTGTCCCTGTGCCATGTTTCCCTGTGTCCTGTATCCCCGCGCCCTGTATCTCTGTGCCCCAAGATGTCCCTGTCCCCTGTGTCCCTGTACCCTGAGATATCCCTGTTTCCCTGTGTCCCTGTTTCCTTGTGTCCCTGTGCCCTGTGTCTCTGTATCCCTGTGGGCTGAGATGTCTCTGTGCACTGTTTCCCTGTGTCCCTGTGCCCTTTGTCCCTGTGCCCTTTATCCCTGTATTCCTGTTTCCCTGTGCCCTGGGATGTCCCTTTATCCCTGTTTCCCTTTATCCCTGTGCCCTTTATCCCTGATTCCCTGTACCCCTGTTTCCCTGTGCCCTGAGATGTCCCTGTGCCCCATGTCCCTGTGCCCTGAGATGTCCCTATATCCCTGTGTCCTTTATCCCTGTGTCCCTGTGCCCCTGTGCCCTGTCCCAGGCAAGGTGAGCCCCCAGCAGCAGCAGGCAGCCCTGCAGCCCCTGTGGCAGTGAGCTGTGACAAAAAGCTGTGGGGACAGAGGAGAGGCTGTCAGATGTGACATTTGTTGCCAGCAGTGAACTGGCATTAAAATCACCTTGCAGGAGGGTGGAAGTGTTTACAGGGATGTTCCATCTGCACTGCTTGCACAGGGTGTAAAGATCAGCCTTAGAATTCAGGGAGAAATCTGTTTCCTTCTGTGTTTCCAGGAAGGAAAATCCTGGGCTGTAAATAAATAACAGACAGCTTCACCCAAGTGTTTATAAATAGTCTGACTTGATACCATTTAATTTTCTGTGATCATTTTCATTTCAGGCCTTTGGAAATGCAAAAACCCTTCGGAATGACAACTCCAGTCGGTTTGGGAAGTACATGGATGTGCAGTTTGATTACAGGGTAACTTGGAATCTGCTTTATATGTCAGGACTCGTTACAGGAGCTCTCTGTGTTCTTATATTGTTGTGTGTGTAGTGAGTGCTTTGCATTTCCTTGCTGACAGCATAAGCAGAGCCTGTGGTAGCAAAGTTTGAGTCCAGAGGGTTTTATGGCAGTCATTCTCCTTTCATTTCTCCCTTATTTCTCTGTACAAAGAGACACTGAGATCAAACACTTTTATTTCTGAGATATTTTATTTCTAGTGCTCTGTGCCAGTGGATGCTCCCCAGGTAAATCCACATAAACCAGCTGAGAGATCTGAAGATAATTCCTGTCCTGAATAACTTTGCACAGAGTTTGTGCTCTGATCCCAACTGCCCCACAGCAGCAAGGTGGACACAGTGCAGGGGCTGAGGAGCTCAGCACTGCCATCCTTCAGGTCTCCTTTAATCCCTCCACACTCAGTTTTGGTGCTTTCCCTTTGTGGTGAATTCCTAGAAGGAATTTTAGCACTCAAATCACCACTGTGCTGAAATAGAGTGGCACAGAATGACAGATTTTTTTGTGGGCTTTTGCTTCAGATGTTGTCTTTGAACAGACAATGAAGAAGCAGAAACATTTTCCTCTGTGTTGATGAACTCTTTCCACGTGTCTGGTTTGGTTTAGGGGGCTCCTGTTGGGGGCCACATCCTGAACTACCTCCTGGAGAAATCCCGAGTTGTGCACCAGAACCACGGCGAGAGGAACTTCCACATCTTCTACCAGCTGCTGGAGGGAGGGGAGGAGGACCTGCTCAGGAGGCTGGGCCTTGAGAAGAACCCACAGCAGTATCACTATTTAGTAAAGGTGAACATGAACTATAATTCTTAAAATATTATATTACAGGGTTGGGATATCTCCAAATGACTTTGTAATTTCCTTCCCTCACTTCAGAAATAACTCTGAGGTGATTGCTCTAAAAAGAAACACAATGCACAGAGCATGGGTAATGTATCTTTGATGATTATTTAGTTATTTATATCAAGCTGTGTCTTTTTAGGGTCACTGTGCAAGAGTGAGTTCCATAAATGACAAAAATGAGTGGAAGATCATGAGGAGAGCCCTGTCTGTTATCGGCTTCAATGACACTGAGGTGGAGGTGAGGTTCAGCAGCACAGATTTTCCTACTTTTAAGGATCTTTTCTGCTTTGATTTCAGATTTCTGATTGAAATCAGTAAATCAATTCAGAGTGAATCTATTCCCTACAAAAATCCTACAAAAATACACAAAATGCTCTCCTAAATAACACAAAAACCTTGCTGAGTGTTCATTCCATCATCCTGATCTCTGCCTGTTGCTCCCATGGCAGGATTTGCTGAGCATTGTGGCCAGTGTCCTGCACCTGGGGAATGTCCAGTTTGCTGCTGATGAGCAGGGGAATGCTCAGGTCACTACAGAGAATCAGATTAAATACCTGGCCAGGGTGAGTATCACCAGCAAGGGAGATACTACAGGAAAGGTCAATTGGAGAGGATTCCTTACTTTGAGCTTAATATCATCATACAGTTTTAGACTGTGATTTAGAAGATTTCATAAATTTAATAAAAAACCTAAATAGAATGCAAATATTATCATCAAACTCATTTAAAGGATAACTTCTTTATTTACCACCTGACCCACCCTTGCCTTGAGGTTTCCACCTTGGGGCAGTGAGGTAGGAAGAGAATCTGGAAAAGAGTTTTAAAGCAAGAACCAACTCAGTGCCTTTGCTTGGTCACTTCCTTCCAGCCAATTCATTTGTTAGCTGAAATCCCTGCCAGAAAGGAGGGAAGGGAGGGATTGATGCTGCAGAGTTGTTCAGTGTGAGTGGGAAATAAAGGGGTTTTTCACTGGGCTGGGATTTTAGGGAAATGGGATGTACAACTCCATAAATTAATTGAATATCCTGCATGCAGCTGCTGGCAGTGGATGGCTCAGTTCTTCGGGATGCCCTGATCCACAAGAAGATCATAGCAAAAGGGGAGGAGGTAAGAACAGGGGATTTGGGAGACAAAGGGGATTCAGTGAATCAGCTCCATCATCACCTCTCAGGAGGTTGGCACTGCAGGGATCCCACTGGTGATGCTCCAGCCACCAGCAGGATGATTTTGAGAGGCTGTTTAGTGATGATGAGGCAGGAAAAGGGGGATCCCTTGGTTTGGGGGGTGCTGAGTGCTTTGCTCTGCTCTGTTGCAGCTGGTGAGTCCCCTGAACCTGGAGCAGGCAGCCTATGCCAGGGATGCCCTCGCCAAGGCCGTCTACGGCCGCACCTTCTCCTGGCTGGTCAGCAAGGTCAACAAATCCCTGGCTTACAAGGCAAGTGAACCCTCTGCTTGTTGAGATCCAGCCAAAAGGGACAGCAATTTCCAGATCTTTCAGCCTCAAAGCAAGTTCCATGCTTTTAGTAATTTCTAAATTAATTTTTTATTAATCTAATCCCAGTAAATGCTGGGATTTGATGATGAAGATCCAGGGGTGGATCATAGCTGTCAGCAAATACCTGCATTTGTTTTACCTACAGTTGTTTTCTGCTCTATTGCAGGAAGAGAAGTTTCCAGGCTGGAGAAGTACAACAGTTCTAGGATTGCTGGACATCTATGGGTTTGAAGTTTTCCAGCACAACAGGTTTGTTTCGATAAATTCTGAGTTACATTGTTCAGTTTATGGTGTTTTCACAAGGCTTTATTCCATTTCTTAGTAAAAGAGTTGGCATTTAAATGTCAGGACATCAGGTGAAAAACTGCTAATCACAGGGCATCTAACACTTAAGACATCCAGCTAATAATTAGCATTTACAGCTATTAACGGTGCTGGTATTTTAAATAAACTGTTGTTTTCTGGGTGTATTCATGCCTTACCTGGAGCTGTGCCTTTGGCCAGCTCTCCAGCCCAGAGGTGGCTGTTGTGGCATCTTCCCATGGTGGTGACAAACCAGGGATGGGACTGGCAGAGTCTGGAACCTCCCTGGCAGGTAGCACTGAACCAAGACTCTCAGATTTGCAGTGTTATTGGGCCTTTATTCAAGGTTTTTGTGTTCCTTCATGTTCCATCCTTTATGTCCATTTTTCCCTCCTTCTGGAACTCTTTGAGTTTCCCTAAATAATCAATTTACTCAGTGCATGCAGTCAGTAAATAAACACTTCACACAAATCTCTTTCTCTCCATTCACTGTATCCCTGCTGCTCCCACTGTTTGTATCCCCTTCTGTACAAACAGTGATTATTTTTCTGCTTTTTCTTTGCAGCTTTGAGCAGTTTTGTATTAATTATTGCAATGAAAAGCTGCAGCAGCTCTTCATAGAGCTGACCCTGAAGTCAGAGCAGGAGGAGTACGAGTCCGAGGGCATCGCGGTAAGAGCCCAAATCCCCTTCCCTCTCCTTGCAGAGATCCTGCCACCATCTCCAAACCAAGGAAATAAAGAACTTTCCTTTTTCCCTTCTTTTGGAAACCCTGGTAACTGTGTGAGACAGCTGGAAGTGAGTAATGCCATCCCAAGCTTTTAATAAAGGCAATGTTAGGAAAACAAATGTGATGAGTGAAAAGGCTTTGACAGAAAGATTGTTTAAATCAGATGTTCTCTGAAATGTTCTGAAATTTACATTTCTTTTCCAGTCTAGAGTTGTTTTCACCTAAGTGTGATTTCTTGTCTTTGCAGTGGGAACCAGTTCAGTATTTCAATAACAAAATAATTTGTGATTTGGTGGAAGAGAAATTCAAAGGCATCATTTCTATTTTGGTGAGTTGAAAACATCTTTTTGAATGAAAAATTTTGAACAGTGTAGTGGAAAACAAGGGGAAAAAATCAGTTTATGTTGGAAGTGTTTGAGTAGGTGGGAAGAGCAATAATACACTGAATATTGACACCATTAAAAGTCATTGCATCTCCTCCATGTGCTCTGGGGAAAGCAGCTCCCTATCCAGGCAGTCTGGAAGGAGGGAAATATTTTGCTTTTCAGCTCAAGAATTCTTCATTGATTGAGCTAAAAGTTGTTTATCTGTGGAAAGGCCAGACTAGAGGAGAGCTTCAGGGAGGCAGAGCCCAGAAATGCCTGGAATTTGTGTGTTTGTAGGATGAGGAGTGTCTGAGACCTGGGGATGCCACAGACACGACATTCTTGGAGAAACTGGAGGAGACTGTGAAGAACCACCCTCATTTTCTCACGTGAGTGTTCCCTCAGCTGAGAGATCCCAGTGTGTGAATAACATCCTCACCATGCTGGGTCCCACATAAAAGATGATAATTCTCTTTTACAGAGAGATTTGATTGATATATAAGATAATACAAAATAGGTTGTCAACACAAAATGCCTGACTGAGGTTCAGAATGCAATAGGAGCAACAAAACTCTTGTTACTGACTCACCTCTCACCCTGCAGAATGTTTACTGCAGTTTTGGAGCTCCAAATGTCTGTTTATTCTAAATGTTCTGCTTTTGTTCTGAATGCTCAGTTTAGGATGTGCACACAGAACCACTCTGCAGGGAACACTGAAATTCCCCTTTTAATTCAACATAAATACATTTAATGTCACTCCTATGACGTGTTGGTTGATAACTTCATTTACCTGAAAATCCCCGAGTCCAATTTGCATTCCTTGCTCCCTGCTGCACAGTCCTGCTCTAGGACTGAATGTCCTGGTGCTTTTTGAAGTGAATCCTGCAGGATTTTGTTTCTCCTGATAGTTTTTTCTCCCTCCCCAGGCACAAACTCGCTGACCAGAAGACGCGCAAGTCGCTGGGGCGGGAGGAGTTCCGGCTCTCGCACTATGCTGGGGATGTCACCTACAGTGTTGCAGGTAACAGAAAAACCAAAAATCTAGGCCTTAAATACATCCCCACATCATTTATCAAACCAGATTAATTTCAAATCTCAAATCCCTGCCTTGAAGTCCCAGTGGAACAGCCTGAGTGGTTTGTTTTTCTTGCAGGTTTTCTAGATAAAAACAACGACCTTCTCTTCAGGAACCTGAAGGAGGTGAGTGTGCAGGGAGGAGGTTCCAGGACAGAATGAGGAGTTGGGTTTCAAATGAGGTGGCGCCTGAGGGAAAGGATTCTTCCAGGCTCCACCTGGAGGCTGTGTGTCCACAGGGCTGCACTCTGAAAAGGCAGATTGAGATCCCAGTGCTCATTTTGTTATTGTAAATAGTTTTGTCCTCCTGTTTCCCTGGTAGTTCTCTGTACTTCATCTCTGAAAACATCTCTCTCTGCAGACCATGTGCAACTCAGAGAACCCCATCATAAACCAGTGCTTTGATAGGACAGAGCTGACAGACAAAAAGAGACCTGAAACGGTGAGAACTCGAGGGCTGGAGGGGGCTGTGGCTGTTCCCTCTTTTTGAAACATGAACTCTGACATGATCTGAATGCAAACCCCTAACATTGTGTTCTGCTGGTTTGTAGCCAGCTCCAAGTCATCCCTTCATGTGCAGTTTTCTTTTTTTTCTTCTAGGCAGCAACTCAGTTCAAGAACAGCCTCTCCAAACTCATGGAAATCCTGATGTCCAAAGAACCCTCCTACATTCGCTGCATGAAACCCAACGATGCCAAACAGGCTGGTATGGCCCTGGGACAGAGGCAGAGCTGCAGCCCAGCCAGGGAGGCACAGAAAGGAGCCAAAGGAAGATTTTGGGGTGGGCCTGAGCTTCTGTAGGGAGGGGGTGGCAGTGCCAGCAGCCAGGAATCACAGTGGGGACACTGCTCTTGGATGGGGGAAGGTGGTGGTTATAGTAAAGAATTATTGACCTATGTAAATTCTTTATAATGACCCTATTCTCCCTCAGTTTTGGTTCCTCTATGCATAAAACATCCCAAAGGAAAACTTCATTTTGGAGCTAAATATAAATAATTAAAAAGGGATGGGAGGGGGGAAGGCAGGAGACACAAAACTGTGTGGGACTTGTGCTGTGAGGATTATTTGGAGACTAAAGATAATCCTGTGAGATACAACCAGAGCTGACCATTCCCCTAGGCACTGATGGTGTTTGTCCCTTTCCATGCCCTGCCCAGAGAGGTTTGATGAAGTCCTGATCCGGCACCAGGTGAAGTATCTGGGGCTGATGGAGAACCTCCGCGTGCGCAGGGCCGGCTTCGCCTACCGCAGGAAATACGAGGTGTTCCTGCAGAGGTGAGTGAGGCTGCTGGGGAATTCTGTCCTCTCCTCTCCCTCTCCATGAGCTTCATTCCATTGATGTTGAGGCTGGGAGCTGTTTTGAACAGCACAGGGGCAGCTTCACCACCTAGAGGGGCAGGAAACTTGAGCTCTCTCTCCCTTTCCAGGACCCCTCTCACTTCCCTTGCCCCCTCTCCCTCCTTGGATTGCACTTCTCTCCCTAAGATCTCCTCTCCTGCCAATTCCAGGTACAAATCCCTGTGTCCAGAGACGTGGCCCACGTGGGATGGGCGGCCCCACGATGGGGTGGCTGTGCTGGTCAAGCACCTTGGCTACAAACCAGAAGAATACAAAATGGGACGGTCAGTTCTGTGTTCTGTTTGAGGTTATGAATCATTGCATGTCCTTGCTGTCCCTTTGAAATGAAGCTTCTCTAGATAATGGGGAAGGGAAAGATTACAGAGCCCAAAGGGGATGCCAAAAGCAACTTGCTCCAAATGTAATTCTGCATTTCTATTTCCAGAACAAAGATTTTTATCCGCTTTCCCAAGACCTTGTTTGCCACAGAAGATGCTCTGGAAGTGAGGAAACAGAGTCTGGGTGAGGCACTCACACTTGCAGTAGATTTCTATTTTAAAAAGCTGCATTTTTTTCTGCCCAAATGTGCTTGGTCATAGTTGCAAATTGCTGCTTTTCTTGCAATTCCAGCCACAAAAATGCAGGCGACGTGGAGAGGATTCTACTGCCGGAAGAAATTCCTGACCATGAAACGCTCAGGTATGAGACAGAGGAGGGAGAGATGTTCCCCCAGCAGCTCCCACAGCAATTCCCACCCTTTTCTTGACATTTATCCCATGTATCATATTATTAAAAATTCATATTCTTGCCCCCATGCCCTACTGAAAGCTGGTTATTTCCAGAGTGGGTTCTCCTGAACATTTTTGGTGCCAGTTTTGTGAAGGAGCTCCCTTAATGCAAAATCTTTGTGTTATTTTTAGCCATCACCATCCAGTCCTGGTGGAGGGGAACCCTGGGACGCCGAAAAGCTGCCAAGAGGAAATGGGCAGTGGAGACAATCAGGAGGTGTGTGAAGAGCAGCCCAAGCCCTCAAACATCACACTCCTTAACAATAAGATGCTAAAAATAAACTTTCTTGTCACTGCAGAGTTTTTTTTAAATAAATTACAACTATTAAATAAAGCCTAGGAAACAGAACCTTTAAATACCACTAATTTGGATGAGTTTTTAAATTTCCTAACAATATTTTCCACTCCCACAGGTTCATTAAAGGCTTCATCTACCGGAACCACCCGCGGTGCCCAGAGAACGAGTATTTCCTGGATTACATCCGATTCTCCTTCCTCATGAACCTCAAGAGGAACTTACCAAAAAATGTCTTGGACAAATCGTGGCCAACTCCTCCCCCATCACTCTGTGAGGTGGGAATGAGCTTTGGGATGTGGGAGGGGAATCCAGGCCTAGAGGATTGCAGCACCATTTCCTCCTGGGCTTCTCATCCATTTCTGTACTTCAATTTTTCTCTAAACAAATTCAGTTCCCTCTGTTGCTGTTATTATTCTGCATCTGCCTGAATTGGTTTATCTGCTCAAAACAAATATTGCAGAAATCCCAGTTACCTTATCCAAAGAATAGTTTGGATTGAAGGTACAGCTGGAAGGAAGGAAGGGCAGCAGGGCAGAGAGGAGGGACTCTGGTGTTGATTCCCCATTCTAAAGCAGCTGGAGAAGTCCCAGGGCAAACCCTCATAGAGAAAGGCAAAAAAATCAACTACTTACTATTTAGTTCTTGGTCAGGAAACAGCTTTTTTAAGCCAGCAGTGAATTTTCTGTAGTTGCTGCTGCTCTTTTGGGTCTGTCAGTGGTTCTGGGCTGTTGGATGTGTCCTGGTGGGTTTGTGCCTGGCTCTGGCCTGTTGGGTTTTTGTCCCTGTTGGGTTTGCCCCTCTCAGATTTCACCCTCTTGAGTTTGTCCCTGTGGGTTTGTGAGTGGTTCTGAGCTGTTGGATGTGTCTCTGTTGGATTGTCCCTGGTTTTGGGCTGTTGGGTGTTTGTCCCTGTGGTTTGTCAGTGGCTTTGGGCTGTTGGATGTGTCCCTGTGGGTTTGTGCCTGACTCTGGGCTGTTTGGTTTCTATCCCTATGGGTTTGTCCCTGGTTCTGGGCTGCTGGGTTTCTCTCCCTGTGGGTTTGTCAGTGGCTTTGGGCTGTTGGGTGTTTGTCCCTGTGGGTTTGTCAGTGGCTTTGGGCTGTTGGGTGTTTGTCCCTGTGGGTTTGTCAGTGGCCCTGGGCTGTTGGGTGTTTGTCCCTGTGGTTTGTCAGTGGCCCTGGGCTGTTTGGTTTCTGTCCCTGTGGGTTTGTCCCCAGCTCTGACCCAGTCCCTGTCCCCCACAGGCGTCGCAGCTCCTGCGCAGGCTCTGCATGCAGAACATGGTCTGGACCTACTGCAAGAGGATCAGCCCCGAGTGGAAGCAGCAGGTACAGGAACCTCTGCAGGGCTCCCTGACTCTGCCAAGGGCAGAACCCAAGGGAATGGAGGAGGGGAGCAGTGGCAGGGGAGGGCTGGGAATTTCTGCTTTCTGGGTGCCACAGGAGCAGTGTCACCGATCTGGGTTTAGGTCAGACACACAACACTAAAAGCCTGGAATGTGCACAGAAGAGACCCCATTCTGTACATATTTCAATAGGTACTATTTAAACAGACTCTGGAGCCAAGCCCCCAGATAATTTCTCTATTGAAAAGCCTTGCTACTCTGCCCATGGAAGCTAAAAATATAAGAAGCTGCATTATTCTGCCTGTACCATGTAAAGTAGAGAGTAAGAATCCTGCAGACACAAACCCAGTCATTTTCCAAACAGAGAAGTTACAGGAACCATTTCAGCTGCCCTGTTGTAGCTAAAAAGAATAAAAATGATACTGAGATTTGATTCATCTCATGGAAAGGTAGGGGGAGGGAAAAAAAAGCTCAGTAAAGAGACAGAATAGGAGATGTTGGCTGTAACTGCCATGAAGGTTTTCCACTGCTCCCTCTCTCACCTGCAGTGCATGGACACCTGGAATGAGGCTGAGCCTGTGATTAGGGACATGGGATTAACTCAGCTCAGCAGCTGCTTTTCCCCAGCAGACCAGACTCACTGATAAGGAGCCTCTTCTATCCCCATTTTCCCTGTAACTCACCCCAGGTGCCTTGTCCTGTGTCAGGGGGGATTTCCCACTTTCCCAGCCCCTGGTTTGCTCCTGGAGCAAAGGAGCCCAGGGCTCAGTCACTGACAGGGGCTGCAGTGGAAGCTTAGGGTGACTCCTCATCCAATTATGACTGCTAATAAAACCACAAAGGGAACATCTCTTCTAACACAGACGTATCTTTTTAATGAGGAGAATTTTTCTACTAAATAAGAACACTTCTTTTGTCCTTGCAGTTGGAACAAAAAGTAATTGCCAGTGAGATATTCAAGGGTAAAAAAGACAATTATCCTCAGAGTGTTCCCAGGCTCTTCATCAACACTCGACTGGGTGAGTGGGGGTTGCCAAGTGTAACAGGAGGAGGGAAGGGGGGGATTAATGAACCCTTTTCTTGCTGGAAATTCCTTTCTGACCCCCCACCTCTTTGGTTTTAATACAGGTAGAGAAGAAATAAATGCTAAAGTCCTTCAAGCATTAGAAAATGAAGCACTTAAGGTGAGAGATGTCAAACTTTTGTCAAGCTCCCAGTTATTCAGCAGAAGGGCAAATTCAATTTCTGGAGAAAGTACAGCAAGAATTTTACATTATATTAAGCCTGTAATACTTTTGAGGGCAGTCTGGGAAGAATTGATGGATTAGAACTGGAGGGGAAGGGGGAAAAGCCCCTTGGGTGTCCCAGTCCCCAGGCAGGGCAGGCACCACCAGGGTGTGCCCAGAGCTGCTCTGGGGCAGGGAGGAAGTTCTGGCACAGAGAATTTCTGCATTCCTGGTTTGCCAAGGCCTGGTTGGTGCCTGCTGGGGGCTGGCAGTGCCCAGGGGGGCCCTGGCCCTGCTCACTCGTGTTTCAGTATGCAGTGCCCGTGGTCAAGTACGACAGGAAGGGCTACAAGGCGAGGGCACGGCAGCTGCTGCTCACCCACAGCTCGGCCATCGTGGTGGAGGAGTCCAAGATCAAGCAGCGCATCGACTACTCCAACCTGACAGGTGGGGATGGCACAGGCTGGGCTGGGCACCCCCTGACCCTCAGCTGCACTTTGATATCCACCACTACACGCTCCAGTTTGTCTTTGTCCTGGACAAGAATGGGCTGAGCTGATCCTGGCCAGCATTTTAGTATCTTGGAATTGCGTTTTTCTAAAATGAAGCTCCATGAATGTCACCAAAATGACTCAAATTAGTCCCCTTTCAGGCCTGCCCCTGAGTGATTTCCCAGTTGCAGGGTCTGCCCATGGGGGAGCTGCACCATTCCTGCACAGCAGCTCCCTGAGCCACTGCTGCAGCTTTTGGCCCTTGGAACATCTGACTGGGGGGGAAAACTGCTGCCCCTGCTCAGTGTGAGCCTGCCTGGCCCCTCAGCCCCCTGCAGCCTCCCAGTGGGCTGGGTGGAACAGTTGCTGCACTCCTGGAGAGGCTGGGAGCCCTCCCCAGCTCCTGGCAGTGCAGTGACAGCAGTGACACTCCCATCTCTCCCCAGGCATCTCTGTGAGCAGCCTGAGCGACAACTTGTTTGTGCTGCACGTGCACTGTGAGGACAACAAGCAGAAGGTACTGGGGGCTCATCCCTCCCTCCTCCAGGGAGCACATCCAGCTGGGAGGAGGGGGTGACAAGGTGACAGGGGTGTGACTTTGTGCCACCACTTTCACTGCTGGGGCTCAGCAGTGTTTGCCTCCTCTGGTGCTGTCCCTGTCCCCTGTCCCTTGCAGCAGTTTAGTTTTGGTGCAGTGACACCAAAGCCATGATCCTAAAGCATGGATTCTCCTCCCAGGGTGATGTTGTCCTGCAGAGTGACCACGTGATTGAGACACTGACAAAAACAGCAATTCTGGCCAACAAAATCAACAATGTCAACATCAACCAGGGCAGGTGAGTGACACCAGGGCCCTGCTTCCTCCTGTACCCACCCAAATGTACCCAACCCACCCCAGCCAAGGCTCCAGAGCACATCTGCTGCAGCTCTGTCAACACCCAGCTCCTGGAAAGCCCCACACGCTCACCAGGGCTGTTCTCACCCTCTGCTCCTCACAGCATAAAGTTCACAGTGGGACAAGGCAAAGAAGGGATCATCGACTTCATCTCGGGCTCAGAGCTGCTCATAGCCAAAGCCAAGAACGGGCATCTAACAGTGGTGAGTGTGGGCTGGGGATCACTTACCCTGGGACACCCAGCACTGTGGCCTGGGACACAGCCAGGGGATGTTCCTGCCCTGCTATCCCAGCCTTTCCCCTACTTGGAGCTGGGCACAGGGCTCCTGCTGCCCTCAGGGGCTGCCAAACTCACACTCAGCAAGGAACTGTCCTCACTTTTTATTTCTACCCCCTAAGATTCACTTACTTCATAGCAAATCAAATTTTAGATACATTTAAAAACTCAAAATCCTCTCCCCTTCTCAGCATGTTTTTGGTGATCCTGGCAGCCAGATCAGCCCCACAGCTGATTTATGCACTGTCAGACCCCAGCTTATTCAGAAACAAATCCAGCACAAATCCAGCCCTTCCAGCAGAGCTGAGAGCTCCCATTAGGACCAGAGGCTGCCCCTTACAGTAGCCTCAGCATGTTCAGGAATTAAAGCTTTTGCAGCATTCTGAAGACACTTCCAAACCTGTCCTTCTCCTGCAGGTGGCTCCTCGGCTGAATTCCCGATGATGAACAATTCCCTGCCCCAGGACCTTTCCTCCCCTCCTTGCTTTGCTCTTTCTGTTACTACCAAAGACCTGCACTTTCAGAACAACCACAAAATACATCCTTGCTCTCTCCTCTTACTCTCAAAGTCCCAGACAAAGGCCTTCTCCTCTCCTCCTTCCCTGCCTGAAGGTGGGTCCAGCACAGCATCCCTGCAACCACAGCTCGGGACCTTCAGCTGGGCTTGGAGGAGAAGTTTAAGCCCTGATGGAAATGACCAAAATTTGTGCTTGTCATCACCAAAAAAAGCACAATCAGAAAACAAGTAACTCTGCTGCTTTCTCAGCCAAATCACTGAAATGCCAAACTTTGTATTCAGAATGTTTGATGAAGAATTTTGCTCGGAGATGTTTTAATGCTTTGTGTTACAAATATAGTGAAGCCATATTGTGTAAATGAGTAAAACCTGTAAATACTTTATAGCCAAGCACGAGATGCACTACGAGAGATGGAGTTGATGTGGAAATTTTATGTTTTAGATTTGGAATTTTTGTTGGTTTTAGTTTATGGTTACAAGGTATAACCTTAAAAACCCATGATGTAACTTCACTGATCAGGAGCCAGAGACTTTTATCTTTTTTTGAAGTCAGCTGTCCCATTTCTTGCTCTCTATTTTTATACCATAGGAATTTTTCATATCCACACAAACACAATGTAATACAAACTGCAGAGGTTACACTGCTCTGGGCTGGCCATGGGATGAACATGAGCTTCCCCCACTTCCTTTCTTTCCCTGTCTGGGAGGCCCCACTGCCCCTTCCCTCACAGCTCCACGGGCTCAGAGCACCTTCAGGAAAAATGGCTTTTCCTCTTGCTCCAGAACTGGAACTCTGGTTCCCACAGTATTTATAGCAGTGCCTCAGTGCTGCCTTACCAGGGATGAGGCACTGCTGCTGTCCCACAGCTCCAGGGACACAGGGGTAGGTGCTGGCTGCAGCTCAGGCTCCTCCTCAGCACCTTCCTTCAATGCAAACAGCTGCAGGGTGCAGGGCTGCATGGGGAATTGCTGCTGCACCCATGGCACAGCCCCACAGCCCAGCCCCACCTGCCTTAGACACCCTTCCCTCCGTGCTGCTGCAGCCACAGCCAGCCCCGAGTGCCTCCCACCCACTGCTGCCTCTCACAGCCTCAGCTCCCTCTCCTGCTCTGGTTCCTGATGCCATTGTCCAGCCCTGCTCCTGGCTGGAATGTGGACACACTGCAGCCATCCAGCTGTGCTCAGTGTGTTGGTGTATAACCTCTGCCAGACTACGCTGAATAAATTTTTACAAAAAACCAACTCTCCTTGTCTTTGGTGCTCTTTCCTTACATGGTTTGGGGGAAGCTGACCCCAGCTCTGTGTCCTTTCCAAGGAGCAGGTTATCCCAGCAGAGCAGATAACCTGAGTCCCTTCTCTCCCTCTAAGGAACTGAACAGCAGGTGGGAGGAATTCACCAACCATTTCCCAGGGATTTACACAGGGCAAGACTGGATAAAAGGGCTGCTCCCAGCAGCACAACTCACGCTCACACCACATCTTCCTTAGCTCCTGTCTGAAGAACAAGGCTGTTCCTGCTGCTCTCTCCCCCTCCAACTGTTCCTAGCACAAGCAACAAAGGAAAGTTATTAATTATCCTAAAAGAAATTCATAGTGATGGTTGGCATTTTTAATTTAGGTTTGTTTTATTTAAGTTTAATGTTAATTCCATGCTGTGTTTCAGTAAGAACAATACAGATTCTGTATCTGTGGCTCCAGTCAGATATCCAGTAGTACAAATTAGCTTCAAGTTACACATACTGAACAAAAGAGGTTGAGCGAGCGAAGGGAGATGGGGAGAGGGGAGGGAGAAAAGAAAAAATATTGAACACGCATGCAGGCTTATCAATGCCACCTTCAATGCTAACCTGCTTGGAGGGAAAGTAAAGAACAGGCAAGAATGAGCAGCCACGGATTGTTGAACTGTTACCAGCACCATGATTTTCAGCAACGTTTCAGCAGTTTGGAAACTTTTTGTTTTTATACAGTAAAACCACTACAAGAAATGTCCCAAATGCAACCTCGCAACTTCAAGCTAAACACCCAATTAAGTTGAAACATTGGTATAAAATTCAGTTTAAACAGTTATAAAAAAAGAAAGATGCCACCACAATGAGCACTACCTGGCCAGGACCAATCTCTCCCTACACGGCCTTCAGGGTGTCACATCCAGGTCTGATGGCAATGTCACCACAGCTGGCAGAGACAACACAGTAATGCTGAAAGAGCCTTTATGCAGTCCTGTTAGTGTCTTAAAGAACCTAAAAGCTGGCACCAGTAAAATCCACAGAAATTCACTCTTGCCTTTAAGAACTTTTAAACTGTGTAAAAAAAATAAAAATAAAGAAACCCAACAGGGCAGGAACCTAAATTCTGAGACCCAATGTAAAAGTCAGATTTGGTGGTTCTCAGAGTGACACTGAGGGTTTTTGTGGGGAAGGGGGAGGGTGGTCAGAGATGGGTTCTCTTGTTGGCCTTTGTGTCTCACTGGTTTTCATCTTCCACATCCTGCAACGCTTCTTTATTCTGTTCTTCACCTGTGGAAGTGGGAAGAAGGGAGGAAAACGTTACCGTTCCAAACTGAGAGCTGCAGAACAGCTCAACAAGCACCCAGAGATTAATATTTTCATGCAGTACACACTCACTCTCCCACTCCACACTGCCAGCTCCAGAGTGAAGCATTCCCATGGAAACAAAGCCTTGGAATCACCTGCACCCTCACACAACTGCAGCCAGGCCACTGGAACGTGTGAGGACAAACAAACCCAGCCCTGAAACCTGACACCACTCAGGTGAGCAAGGGCTGCACAGCCCAGGCAGAAACCACGGCAGCAGCTGTGGAACAACAGCCCTGGATCTGCAAATCCCTTCCCCAAACCCTCATCTCCTTTCCTGCCCAAGCCCACTCAAGCCTCAACAGCAAAGCACTACAGGGAATTTTACACAGTTACCTTTGGTAACTCCTGCCCTCAGTGTATAAAAAACACCCTGCTGTGAGTCCAACCTGACAGAAACCCTGGGTTTAAGGTTATTAAATAAAAACATCTTGTGGAAATGAATGTCTCTGTTCCACAGGCTGTGCCATGCAGTGGAGTGGGGCTGTCCATGAGACTCCTGCACTTTGGTTACACTCCAGCTGCCCCAGGGAGCTCCATGCAACACCTTCTGCAGGGCTTGACCAAAATTCTGCTGTACCTGGGCAAGCTCCAGGTACCTCAGCTGGTGCCATCACACATGCACAAGTCACTTAATTGGTAAGGGAGGCTGAAAAAATGCTTACAATTATCTGTAACCACATAAGATGGGACTCTCTTAAGGGCAATAAACAGAAATTAGTAACTAAAAACTTCATTTGCAATAAAACCCAATCAAATGAGACTGGTAACTTCCAGCAGATAACCAGAATGTTTGCTCAGAGCATGTCCAGATTGAGGATTACCACCAGGTAAAATAGGAAGTAGATTTTGGAAGAGGAACACAGGACATTCAACAACAATAAAGTTTATAGACAGAATTCTGTTTAAGAGAGGAAAGCAGAGGCTTTAACCCAGACTAGAGGATCTGAGCATGCTCTAACCAACACACTTGAGCAATACTCCTCTACCAGGCCACTGTGAGTACTTCCCATGCCCAAATATTCTTCTATCCATCCAGGATTGCAGCTCAGCTCCCAACCATGTGAGTTACTCTGGATCCTGGTCAAGCACATCACCCCTGGGCAGGGACAGGTGCCACAGGAGTGGCAGCAGGGACACAAGCATTTGTCAGCAGCAGGTGACAGAGGCAGGCACTGTTAGTGACAGGAAAACTGACACTGAAAACTCCAGTGAGCCACAACAAGAGACTTACAAAGTAGAGTTTTTAGGAAATGAACAGTTGGACTTTCCTTTAGGAATCTATACAGCAGGAAAGAAGGGGAGAACAGGAATCATACGGAGATGAAATTACAAGTGTGGAAATAAACTCAACACTCATCTGGGCCATGGGAAAGCTACAGGGACTGGGATGGGTGAGCAGCAGCTGGGGCAAGCCTGGCCTTACATCCCTAAAGGGGTGAAATGGAAATAGAGAAAAGCTTAATGCCAAAGAACAAGCCATTTCCAAGCCTCTCCCATCCCTTGGAAGCTCATTGTGGCACCACTGATTTATTGTTCAAAGGTCTGCTCATTTGGGAATGTAGAGCTCTGGAACCATCAGCTGGAAATGCACTCAGAGTATTGGCAAAGTATGAGGAAACTTAACTTTGCACCTGTGTCTGAACATTCTACATAATCACTTCTCTGGATCTGAAGAATTCCACCAAGACTTTAAGCAGTCCTGCAGTATCTTCAATTTTGTCATCATTATCTTCCTGGCATCAGTAACCAGGACAACCTGAACTGCTTCAGGAATAACAAAAATATCTTCCATGATGTGGAGCAAGAAATTTAGATCTCTATTTCTTTTTTCAACATCTAAAGAGCCTGTAAATAATCCTGTGGAACTTCTACAATATCCATGAGAGACAGCAGCTCTGGGCAAATCAGGAACTTTTGGAAGACACTGTTTGGAAGAGATTGGTACTGTCCCACACTGATCCAACCTTGTTACTGCACTAAAATGGCTTCCACAGACTACCAGGGTATTTGGCCCCAGTAAAAAAAAGTAAAGGTTTTATTTAAATGGAGGGAATTTGAAATACATTTCTCCTCTCCAATGCCTACCCATGGCAAGAAAGGCATTCAACACTTCAGTGTTTGGAGAAAAATCTACAGATCCATCCAGGGTCCAGAGATAATCCTTGAAAAGGGAGGTGCAAGAGCCTTAAGCTCCTGGGATGTGGAGTAAACCAGGAGCCAAGACCCCACACATTTACAGCATTCCCAGCCTCAGCAGCCCCAAGAGCAGAGTGAGAAGCTATGGAGTAACAACACTTCAAAACAAACCCATCATCCCACATAAAAAGAGGAAATTGGGAAGTTAAAAGATGCTGCACTTGCTTTCAAATGGACAC